CATTGGCCCCCTGCCTCCTCTCTGTCAATCCTTTGCTAAAACAAATGCCCTTTCACCTTAGGAATACGATGTCTAACCTGGACCCCATACTTCACTTTGCAGAACTCTAACAGAATAATTGTATACATACCTATCTATTCAGAAATAAGTTCCTCTGAGTTTGAGTGGATAGCTAAGTGGATTTGCATCATCAGTATTCACATCCGCTCAAATTAAGGCCCATCATCTTTTCAGTTCTGTAAAGCCTGTCTGGAAAAATATTATAGAGCTGCCTACTCACATTACATGTACCTGGCTAACCATCTAATCTAATGTGATAAAAGTTATTACTTTATCACTGACCTGAATGGAGAATTACATTATGGCTCATTAGCAACAAGGCAGCGATCATTTCTTTTGCCTGCAGAAGAAAGATAAAGGTTTACTGGAAGATGTCTGCCTGATTTGCAATAGATTGGCAATTAGACTCTGAACATCCTAATCATATGAGTTGATTTTTGAGGTAAAAGGAGTGTGAATGAGGCACGCTGCCACCAGGTAGACAGGTCCTAGAATATAGCATCAAAGCCAAACATTAATAGCTTTCCAGGGATGCAATGAGAGCTGTTTTCAGTATGTCCTGCTTTAGTTGGAAGTTTAAAGATATGGAGGTAGCTGAAAACAGGATGGGGGCCCTTCCACACAGCCCTATATCCCAGAATATCAAGGCAGAAGATCCCACATTTTCTGTTTTGAACTGGGATATATGGCAGTGTGGACTCAGATAACCCAGTTGAAAACAGATATTGTGGGATTTTCTGTCTTGATATTCTGGGATATAAGGCTGTGTGGAAGGGCCCTGGGGTAAATTGGTTTTTCAAAAATCAGTTTTCTGAGGTTCAAAAATCTTTCTTTTTAAACCCTAACAGTTTCTCTCTGTTAGGGCCTTTCCACACAGCCATATAACCCAGAACATCAAATCAGATAATCTACCATATCTGCTTTGAACTGGGGCCCCTTCCATACAGCTATATAAAATCTCACATTTTCTGCTTTGAATTGGAATATATGGCAGTGTGGACTTAGATAACCCAATTCAAAACAGATTATGTGGGATTCTACACACCTGTGTGGAAGGGGCCTTAGTTTTCCTTTGCAATTTCCTTGTTCAAGGACTACAAGCTGTAAATCATGCCCTGTGTGTTTAGGAAATGTTCTCCTAGGGTCCTTCCACACAGCCCTATATCCCAGAATATCAAGGCAGAAAATCCCACAATATCTGCTTTAAACAGGGTTATCTGAGTCCACACTCAGATAATATGTGATTTCTTGCCTTGATATTCTGGAATATAGGGCTGTGTGGAAGGGCCCCTAGTGCTTTCTGAGTAATGCCATTTCTAATGTCAGATTTATGTCTAATAATTATCTTGCATAGAGACTGTCATGTTTTTTCCCTATTATAGAAAGTAGAAGGGTAATGCTAGCATAGGATAGCATCCACAACTTCCCAGAGAACACCATCTTAGAGCCCTTCCACACAGCCATATGACCCAGAATATCAAGGCAGATAATCCACAATATCTGCTTTGAACTGGATTATCTGAGTCTACAGTGCGATATAATTCAGTTCAATGTGGGTTTTATACAGCGATGTGGAAGGGGCCTTAGTCAATATGGATATGGAAGGTCTGTACACCGACATCCTGCGCCAGGATGGACTACAGTAAACCTAGGACTTGTCTAGGCAAGCAAAAAATCTTGTTTGTTGTTGTTTATTCATTCAGTTGCTTCCGACTTTTTATGACCTCATGGACCAGCCCACACTAGAGCTCCCTGTCAGCTGTGGCCACCCCCAGCTCCTTCAAGGTCAAGCCAATCATTTCAAGGATAACATCCATTCATCTTGCCCTTGGTCTTCGCCTCTTCCTTTTTCCTTCTATTTTCCCCAGCATTATTGTCTTCTCTAAACTTTCCGGTCTTCTCATTATGTGGTCAAAGTACTTCATCTTTTACTCTAATATCCTTCTTTCCAGTGAGCAGTCGGGCATTATTTCCTGGAGTATGGATTGGTTTGATCTTCTTGCGGTCAAAGGCACTCTCAGAATTTTTCTCCAACACCACAGTGCAAAAGTGTCTATCTTCCTTTGCTCAGCCTTCCTTATGGTCCAGCTCTCACATCCACAGGTTGCTACATGGAATACTATTGCTTTAACCATGTGGATCTTCGTTGCCATTGTGATGTCTCTACTCTTCACTACTTTATTGAGATTGGTCATTGCTCTCCTCCTAAGAAGTACACATCTTCTGATTTCCTGGCTGCACTCTTTGTCTGCAGTAATCTTTGTGCCTAGAAATACAAAGTCTGTCACTGCCTCCACATTTGCTCCCTTTATTTGCTAGTTATCAATCAGTCCAGTTACCATAATCTTGTTTTTTATGTTTAACTGCAACTCAGCTTTTGCACTTTCTTCTTTCACCTTGGTTAAAAGGCTCCTTAGCTCCTCCTCGCTTTTGGCCATCCAAGTGGTATCATCTGCATATCTAAGGCTGTTAATGTTTTTTCCAGAAATTTTAACTCCAGCCTTGGATTCATCAAGCCTGCACGTCACATGCTGTGTTCTGCTTACAAGTTGAATATGTCTGGTGAGGGTATACAGCCCTGCCGTACTCATTTCCCAATCTTGAACCAGTCTGTTGTTCTGTGGTCTATTCTTACTGTTGCTACTTGGTTGTTATACAGATTCCTCAGGAGACAGACAAGGTGGCTTGGTATCTCCATGCCACCAAGAACTTGCCACAATTTATTATGATCCACACAGTCAAAAACTTTAGAATAGTCAGTAAAACAGAAATATATATTCTGAAACTCCCTGCCTTTCTCCATTATCCAGTGGATATTGGCAATCTTGTGCTCACTCTGAATGGACTGCTGGCTCTCCCCATAACACATATTGGCTTCTGCTGAATATTGCAAGGTTTGGGGATTGTGGATTATTTTTTTTGGGTTTTGCTCCTCTTTTCAGGAGGAACAAAAGTGTCAAATATTTTCTCATGTATACACTTACTTCTCCAGCATTTTTCTCTAGTAAGCAAACACAGGGGATGGTACCCTAAATTAGAATGTGGTTATTCGTAAACATAGAGCCAATGTCTCTCTCTGTGTATCTGTGCCACCAATTGCCTGCTAATTTATAGTAACGTATGAATTTGATAGGTCCTTTTAAAGATGAGGAATACTCAGAGGTCGTTTGCCACTAAGCCAAATGCCTACTAGTTTGTAGATGTTATGTTCAGAGCTCATCTCATTGAGTGTAATTTCTGAAAACTATTGGTGACCATATGTAGCTGAACAACTGCCCAACCAAATAATGGGGATCCTGAGCTCTCAATGTTTGCAATATGCAATTTTTGCAAAATCTACTTGACCTTAACTCTTGAGGGACTTGCAATTCTTGTAAGATGGCTTCATCCTGTAGGACTTTTGAAGGGCTTTCTGTAGTGGTTCACTATGCTTTTACTTTTTGTTCCCAGTGATGTTAAGAAGAAGATTCCAGAGGCCGTGGAATGGGCAGTGGTGTATGTGCATGCTGGCCATGGGACAAATTTTGAAATATCTGAGAGGCTGTATGAGGCAATATTTTATATAAGGAGTCATGGAGAAATGTAGAGCTTGAGTTGTGGAAATAAGGTAATCAGTTGTTTAAGACATGAAGTACTGGTATTTTTTTTATGGTAGTTACAGAACTTTTGTTAGACAGATCCAGAAAGTGGTTTGTTTGGAAGGGGCATGAAAGGGCAACCAATTAGTTCTCAAACTGCCTGTTTTGATCTTTTTGGCTCAAGAGAATGACTGCGGGGGAAGACTTGTTTTCACTCAGATTGACCCAAGCCGGATATATGGGCCCCCACTGTGTGTTTTCTGACACTGAGTCAGAATGGTCTCACCTTGTTCACTTAATTATGGGATATATCATATGATTCAGCTCACAAAGAGGCCAAGATCCTTTGCATACAGAGGGCTCCAGCTGTTGTCACTCATCATTGGGGAACAGATGGATGATGTGATTCGGACAACAGAGAAGCAACTGGTTTCTGCTCAGTTGAAGGTGTGTGTGTGTGTGGGGGGGGGGAGAGATAAATGAGACTAAATTTTCAAGTGAAGTTCGGCAATATTTCCTTCCTCCAAGAGCTCAGAACATCTGGGACTTCATGGTATGCCTGGAGTTCCCTCTGCTTCCCCTTCCCTCAAATAAGGGCACTTCCTGACTGGGCTTAAACCCACACCTGCCCCCCAAAACTGGGCTTTCCCAATGGAATGTCCCAATGCCATCCTAGTAACTTCCAAGATGGCATGAGGCCACCAACCCCATCCTTCTCCCTCCAAAAGCCTTAAATGTAAAAAAAAAAAAAAGTACCGATTCGCTACTACACTGCTATGGTAAGCCTTCTGGTGCATAGAAGTGATGTGCTGGGAGCTGGGGAAGGTCAGGAGCGATTTTGCTACTCCCCATCCCCCACCCTCCTCAGCCTCTTGGTGCATCATTTCCAAAATGCCTTAAGGCTTGGGGGTGGGGGGCTGTAGAGACTGATCCTTAGATAGTCCCAGGACTACCTGGGAGTCAGTTTCCACAGGCCCCCCACACAATTAGACCAGGGTCTTTCAGGAGGATCCAGATCTAATTGGGGTATTTAATTAATTCAGGGTAAAGTAGGGCTTATCTGCTTTGTCCCAAATTAATTATCTTAATGACATATTTGGTAAAGCCTGACAGGTCCCACATTTTAGGGCCTGTCTGGAAGAGCCCTAAAAAAGAAGTGGGCAGCACAACTTGTCAGCTGCTGGGAGTGGAAGGGTTTTGGATCAATGTAGAGGCAGCAGGACAGCATGAATCAATAAAAGGATGCTGGTCAGAGTGTCATTTTCCAAGGGATATGGTCATTTTTTTTCCATATTTCCAGATTCAGCTTTTTAACACTTGAATATGTAGAGCTCATGCCACCAAGAACTTTAAACCACTGGGTTCAATAAACTATGAACAATATGTATGTTTTATTCATCTGAAAAATATTTTAGGCTTCACCTATGCTTCCATTCTCACTGTAATACATGGGAAGAAGTTCCTTACCTTCATTGGCATCAGAACCAAGAACATCACAATTCCACACAAGCATAATTTGGAAATACAATAATCAGTACAAAGATACATGAATGGTTGGAAGGTTCTCAGTTTCAGATATTTGCAGGCATATTGTTTAGTTTCATGGAGACTTTTGACACATCAGTGTTAACAGTTGAAAGAGCAATGTTTTCATATAATTCTTGAGATTCAAAACATCTGAAGTTGTGAAACAGAATCACCAAATCCTTTTGAAAATTCTTGTTGAGAAATCCATAGAAAAATGGATTGACACAAGTGGAGATCATGGCTACCAAATGGCACAAAATAAATATCACATTGTGATGGCAACTAATCAGGGCCTCATAGTTCCAGTCAAACATAACATTAAATACGTTCAAAGGTAACCAACATGCTCCAAAGGTCACAACAATTGAAATCAACATCGCATTAATCCTTTTGCTTTCATTGAGTCTGTTCTCATTCTCCTTTATGTTATCTACTTTCCCATACCTCTTCTGAAGACACACAAATATCTTCAAGTAACAGATGAAAATGAAACCTAGTGGGAAGAAGTACTGGCAAACTAACATAGTGGTTGTATAGCCTCGTCGTTCTTCAATGGAAGGCCACATCTCAATACAGACAACTTTGTTCATATAGATATCACTGTGGTTACTGAGGGGATGATCAGCGATTTGGTGAAATATAAAAAATGGTGTTGATATTATGATAGAAAATGCCCAGATGAAGACAATGCCCCAGAAGGCATGTGAAATTTTGGGCTTCCAACCCCGTGGGTTCACTATTAATTGATACCTTTCAATGGCAATTAGTACAAGTGAGAATGTAGAGACAGTGACAGACATGCTTTGTACAAAGTTATTCATTTTACACATAGCTTCTCCAAAAACCCAGTAATCCATCAAAGTATATGCAGCAGTGAAGGGAATGCACATGACACTGATGAGAATATCAGACACAGAGAGGTTGGCAATCAAAATGTTAGTGACATTTTGGCTTTCTTTCTGTTTCCCGATGATAACAATCAGGCAGAGATTGCCAAGAAGTCCTACTAATGTGACTATGGCATAAGCTGTGATGAGCAAGAAGACCGCAGGAAAAGATGGCTGGCAGGTCTCAAAGTGGGAAAACGGGGAGTGACTGCTGTTTCCAGCAGGTGGATCCATGGTGGCCTCTTGGACGACTTTATCCATCACGAAATACCCCTGAAATTACAGGTATAATTAGAACTGAGAACTCTCTGTTTTGGGTCTTCTTTGCATGCTGATGAAATAAATTAGTCTTTTGAGATTAATTTAATACTGTTCTTTTTAATAAGGAATTTCTGAAGATACACACACATGCACAGCCACTAACTTAGGAGCCCCTGGTGGCGCAGTGGGTTAAACTCCTGTGCCGGCAGGACTGAAGACCAACAGGTCGCAGGTTCAAATCCGGGGAGAGGTGGATGAGCTCCCTCTATCAGCTCCAGCTCCTCATGCGGGGACATGAGAGAAGCCTCCCACAAGGATGATAAACACATCAAATCATCTGGGCGTCCCCTGGGCAAAGTTCTTGCAGACGGCCAATTCTCTCACACCAGAAGCGACTTGCAGTTTCTCAAGTCGCTCCTGACACGACAAAAAAAAAAGCCACTAACTTAAAACAACTAGAGCAAGCTATCAATTGTTACAACAGAAAGTCCTGTAGAGCTCCAGGGAACATGCAAGCTTTGTTTCAATAAACCTCTTAGGCTGACTCTGCACTATAGAATAAATGCAACTTGATATCACTTTAATCGCCACATATAAATGCTGGGATTTGTAATTTGGTGTAGCACCAGCAGTTTTTGGCAGAAAGGCTTTGTAAGACTACACTATCCACGATTCCATAGAATTGAACCATGGCAGTCAAAGAGGTGACAAGGTGTATTAATTCTATAAGGTAGGTGCAAGTTGGAAGAGACCTCGTGGGCTATCCAGTCCAACCCCCTTCCAAGAAACAGGAAAATCACATTCAAAGAGATTTCCTTTGGTGAAGAGGAGAGCAATGGGAACACATATGGCAAAGTCTGCTCTAACAATGAAGGTTCATCAAGGAAAACTTCATTTGTGTACATGTGGAAAGATTGCTGTATAGGGTCAGTAAATATGATCAGATCTCTCTGTCTTACTGCCTTAGAAAATATGATTTAAGTTCATTGCTGTGTCTCATGTTGGCGTCTCTCCACCATTTCTTGCACATGCACATTCTTGCTTTCAAATTGAAAAATGGAAATCTTTATATTGCTTGCAAAAATTGATGCCACATTGCATGTCTCAACACTGTGCTGATTGCGGGAGGATATTACATGGCAACCTTCCTTCATGAGTATTCCTAACTATAATGAACACCAACAGATAAGCTACTGGAAAACAGACGAAAGACTGTGGATTTTCTTGTACTGCTGTGAGAGACCCAAGGCTTTTTCTCCTAACAGTATAGGAAAAAAGATAAACCTCTCTCTAAATTTATTTGTAATCTCTCCACCCTACTAAAATGGGGGGAGGCAACAGTCCCATCTTTTGCAAATGGCAAGAAAAGTCAGTGGAAGAAACTAGTTCAGCACCAGGTACAACTTTGGAACAGATGCTATTAGTAATAATAATAATGGGTCTAAGCTGGGACCATGTTTGAGAAGCCTTTCAGTAAATATACTTATTTCTTTCCTCCATATATGACGTCTGGGGGGGAAAAGCCATCAAACAAGACTAGTTTCTGGCAGAACCTGGATTCCAGTGGGACACTTTCAAAATAAGACAGATTTAATGATATGATTGAAAACAGGTGTTTCTAAACGACACCAGTTGCTTTGGCTTCTGCCTTATTATGGGGAAGGAGTAAATCCACCACAGGTAAATCTCCATGAGTCTCATGAGACTTTCAGCAATTTGGATCCCACTGTTTGTTCATTCTGTTTATCATCACCAGAATAAAAAACTGCTGTGTAATTATTTCCAACCTATTTCCTAATTTTCATACTTAAGAGATTATTGTCCCCTGCTTTGCAAATTATTTCCAGATTTACATTTATCTTGTGACCCTTTTTCTCAAAATCTGTTTAATTATGTCATTTCACATTTATACAGATGGCCCTCTACATTTATGGGTTTGACATTTGCGGAATTGATTATTCACAGATATTATTAAAATCTTCTTTCTAATCTCTAGTTTCTCCAGCTTGACTCTTTAGTGCTTTGAATGCAATTTTCATGCTTCTTGGCAGGGGGTTGGACTGGATGGTCCAAGAGGTCTCTTCCAACTCTATGATTCAACTTCTGCCAGAATTATACCAGAGTTATGATGGAGGACCTAGAGATTCCCAGGTAAGTATTCTAAAATGTTAAAAAAGTTTTTTTCTTTACAGTTTTCCCACTTTCACTGGCGTCTTGTACTTCCGACTCCAGTGAATGTGGAGGGCTGACTATGATAACTTAGATATTTTTATTATTTATTAAAATACTTATATTCTGTCTTATGAATGAGGATCTCAAGGTGGCATACAGTGAATCAACTTAGGACAATAAATCACAATAGCAACATTTTAAAATATTTTAATATATTAAAACATATCTCACTTAATACTACTTTTATTCTGTATATTTCCTCAAACTCTGAATTATTCTACATATATCTTGTCAAAGATAGATATAAACAATGGAATTTTTAGGGATATTTATACAGTAAGGCACGGAGCCGCCCGGTTCCTTGCATTACTGTATAAATATCCCTAAAATAGGGATATTTTAGGGAAAGGTCGCAGGTTTGATTTTGGCCAGAGGCGTGAGCTGCCGCTGTCAGCCCCAGCTTTTGCCAACCTAACAGTTTGAAAACATGCAAATGTGAGTAGATCAATAGGTACCGCTCTGGCGGGAAGACCTTGGAGATGACTACGGACACCGGCTCTTAGGCTTAGAAATGGAGATGAGCACCACACCCCAGAGTTGGATACGACTGGACTTAATGTCAGGGGAAAACCCTTACCTATACAGTAATGCAACCTTACATGTTGCTTAGACTTATTGTTCCGAGTATCCCAAAACTCTTACAGGCTATCCCTAGGTTATGAATAAGATAGGTTCTGTAGGTTTGTTCTTAAGTTGAATTTGTATGTAAGTTGGAAAAGATACATTTTTAAAGTGTAACTCCAGCCAAAAATATATTGATTTAGTTTTGGATAGCCTAGGGAAGAATTAACACCCCTGTGGTGTTTGTTTTGCTATCTGTGCCTTGTTTAGAAGATTTCACCTCACTTTCTGTCCCTGTGACCATTGGATTTTGAAAATGTTGAGTTGATTGGTGAGAAAGTGGAGACACCTTTTTCCCATGATAACTCTTCCAGGAGTGAATTTCTACTGAATTGTGGGTCAGTTTTTGGCTGATGCAAGTGGAAATTTTGGCTGATGCAAATGGAAACCTTATTTCAAAATCTAGGGAGACTGACAAAAATGCTTTTAAAAGCACTGATTTCATTTGGAGGTGAGTATGAACTTTGGCAACGCTTATGGCAAATGTATGCCTCTGGCAGGCAGAAATAGGTCTGTGGCAGCTCTATTCTAAAAGCTTGAATCTTTTTAATTTTCTGCCTCCCTATATCTCTGTTTAATTGCTTTATGATAAGCCAGTTCTTTGTTGTTTTTATTATGTAATAACAGTGATGCTGAATTTTAGGTAGAGCTTTAGCAAATTTCTTTACACTGCCTGCCTGTGTTGCAAGCCATACAGAACAGCCTGACAAAATTCTCACAGAAATACAGACATTTCCTTTCAGTAGCTAAAATATGACTCACCGTGGTCCATTGATGAAGTGACACTGAAATATAAACCAGGAGCAATCAGTCTTCGCTTCTCACAGTCAGTGTCCTGCTGTTACAAGTCAAAGCCAAGATGAGGAAGGAAAACAGGGGAGATATAAGAGGCAATGCAAATAATTATCCTTATCTTTTTCTACATAAGCTTTCATGGTTGGATTCTAGTTAATTACACATTAGGGTGTTTCCAGATGAAGCTTATAATGTAAGTCGTCCACTGTCCTGTGTTTCTCCACCACATCCAATACTTTCTTTCTAATTAGACAAGATGTTAAGGAGAGAAAGACCGAAAAGCTGCACATGCTTTTCTGTGGCAGCAGTACATGGTACTAAATCCCTATTGGTACACTATATTAGAGTAGTCAGAGCAAAAGGAATAGAAAAGGTCAGGGTGCTCTACTTGTGAATGAATTTTGAAAATGGGCCACACTAGCCATTTTGTCTGCTTTCCCTTGCCACTGCTCCATGTCCCAAGAAAGGGCCACTTTTAGCATAATATCGATAATTGGGTTGCTGTGAGTTTTCTGGGTTGTATGGCCATGTTCCAGAAGCATTCTCTTCTGACATTTTGCCCACATCTATGACAGGCATCCTCAAACCCCTCAACCTCTGAGGGTGCCTGCCATATATGTGGGTGAAATGTCAGGAGAGAATGCTTCTGGAACATGGCCATACAGCCCGGAAAACTCTCACCAACCCAGTTATTCCAGCCATGAAAGCTTTTGTCAACACAATATGGATAATGCCAAAAAGCCTTTATTTGTTTTTGTTTTTTTTTGTTTTGTAGAGTTGACCTTCATGGTATTTTTCTTTTGAAGTGCGGGCAAACACAGTTACACACAACTGGAGTTCAGTAGTGTTGACTTTAGCATTGCAATTTGTAATGGCTCATTACAGGAGATCTTTTAACAGTGATTTGAAGGCCATCTCTTAGAAGTGCATTAGCTGTGGATTCCTGCATGAGAAGGAACTGGACTATACTGACCTTACAGTCTCGTCCAACTCTATGGCAATTTGAACCAGGAATGATAAAGTCATATCTTGTGTTTGTTGGATTTTCATCCTTGTTCTGTGTATTTTAATATGTGTATTTCAGAGACAGAGCAGACTTGTTTTCTTCTGCCTTGGAGACTGGGACTCGGAGCAATGAGTTCAAGTTACAGGAAAGGAGATTCCACTTGAACAACTGGAAAAACTTCTTGACTATAAGAGCTGTTCAACACTGAAACTCTCTGCCTTGGATTGTGGTGGAGGCTCCTTCCTTGGAAGCTTTTAAACAGAGTTTGGATGGTCATCTGTCAGGGGTACTTCAATTGTGCTTTTCCTGAATGTAAGGGGGTGTGATTAGATCAGTGGTTCTCAGCCTGTGGGTTCCCAGGTGTTTTGGCCTGCAACTCCCAGAAATCCCAGCCAGTTTACCAGCTGTTAGGATTTCTGAGAGTTGAAGGCCAAAATATCTGGCGACCCACAGATTGAGAACCACTGGACTAGATGGTCTACGTGGGCAAGTTCTGCAATTCTATGAATATATGCATTTTACTGAATGTTTTATGTTTTATGTATTTTTAACTGTCTTGTGCCCCACCTTAACCCATGAAGGGAGATGGGTAAGAAAATAAAATTGTTGTTATTACTACTACTCCTCCTCCTCTAGAGGTAAAAAAGGGATGTAATACTATAGGATGCATCATGGGGATGTAATACTATAAGATGCATCTTTTGTCTTTCACACATAATACTGTAGTGTTCCTCACCCCCTACCCCTTGCAAAATGCCAAAAAAATATAGGGGAAGCATATCACTGTCTAAACACACCATCTACACAAATCTTTTGCATACATCACTTAAATATCTTCAGCTTCGTTAGAGACTGGCATAGAAGTCTATCCTGTGTTACCATACCAAGACTACCTTGTTACTTCATGTTTCTGCTCTAAAACAAAACAAGAGCCAGTGTGCTTCAGCAAAGTAAATGCTCATATCTTTAGGTTACAACCAGACTTTTGATCTACAAAGCTGGGAGACAGACACTAACATTGGATGTAAATGGACACTACCATGCCTTTGATCATCTCTGAAGAGTGCAAACATCGTGGAAATTAGCCCAGCTGTGGACACAGTAAGCAATACAGCTGGCCAGTTGTCGTCTAGCTCGATAAAGTGTTCTGTAGAATGTAAAAACTTTTGTTACATTTTAGCATACCTGCTAAAGATTACCAAACTTCAATGTTTGTTAATAGTTCCTACTACCCTTAGATGGGGATCTCTTAATCTCTGTTCAAATTTGAAATGTTGTAAGTTTGTGGATGTCCATTGAGTCCCAGCCCCTGCAACCACCACACATTGATGGAGAAGATCTACAAAGGTTACTGCTACCATATTTGTGCTGAACTTGGTTACATAAATTCACACAGTCAGCAAGTCCAATAAGACAGATGTGCTTTGTATCCAGGTCCAGTCTACACTATTAGGCACCATTGCATAGCTCATACACTGGACTGATAGTGTATGGGCTGATATATTTTCAGCTAATAAGTGTCACAGATATATACCACATACATGTTCTTCTGGTCTTCAATAGAGTTTAATTGCAAACATTTTAAAAGCTTAACAATTCCTTCTTTCCCATATAACAAGAACGTGATATTGTAATTGGGTTTGTCAGTACATGTCTAACACAGAAGACACTATGTAATATATTTGTTGATGAACATGATCTCTTTAAGGTGCCACTGTTGAAAAACAGAAGTGGTATTGGCTATGCGTTGATATACACAAATCCAGCAGAGCTTTGCCCATTGTTTTGTATTTACTGTATTTGATATATGTAAAACTAGATCCCATTCCTATATGGAAACTGTGTGATGATAATATAATCTCTTCTGCTGATTGATGACAGCAAAATATACATTAATGTACATCACCCAGGGAAAGATGTACTCTTAGCTATACTGTATTCATATACAGTTCTGCAAATGGTATCTCAATTGAATTTCTATCCATTCCTGTTGCTGGTGATGGCTGGTGAAATTGCTGTATTTGACAGGAATTGCTTCATGTAGATGGCACCATGATATTCTGTATGTTTTTAGGCCTAGAATGATAGCACTATATGTGGCTGCATAAGAAATCCAGTGCAAGACGGTCTACAATATGAATTGCTCATCCCTAAATGATGTACACATAAAGAAGTGAGTAACGTTGTACGTCAATGGAAGTTGAATTGTAGGGGGAAATGGTTCCTTTTCATGGCTCACTTATTTATTTAGTTTTAATTACTTTATTTTTATCCTGCCTTTCTTCCAATATTCGTTCCAAGATGCAAGTGTTCACTGAATACTGGACTCATCAAGACGTGAGCACATATGGAATATCAGAATCCAGGGTTCAAGCATGCTAGAGACAAATGTTTGGTGCATTGTAGTTTGGAAGTTAGCAATGCACTTGATTTAGAGTTGGGTTTTTTATATATTACAAAGATCCAACCTTTGCAATACCTTTTGGGTTTATACACTTGTTCTCTCAATGCTTATAACAAAACTAAACAGAACCGGGAACTGTGCCTCACTTGTTAGCTACTGTATAATCCTCCTTCTACTTGGAAGGCACGTTAGACTATAATTACATGTTACGAATATTGATGTATACAAAAGTTGGATTATATTTCTGGAAGGAGGGAGAAACTTTGGAGAAGATCATCAAGGATTGAGGGGAATAGCTGTTAACCCAAGCATGGGCCAACTTGGGTCCTCCAGGTGTTTTGGACTTCAACTCTCTCAATTTCTAACAGCCTCAGGCTCCTTCCTTTCCCCCCTCAACTGCTTAAGTGGAAAGGGTCTGAGGCTGTTAGGAATTGTGGGTGTTGAAGTTCAAAACACCTGGAGGGCTGAAGTTTGCCCATGCCTACCTTACCATAACAAACTCAGAAGAGGGGGGAGGTTAACACCTTCAGACAGCTTCTGTGCTGTAAACCTTTCTACAGTCTTTTTTATATGCTTTACCAGGAAGCTTCTCTTTTGATTCTTACTGCAATATGAATTATTGCATTTTTATAGAACATCTTATTTGAAATGCATTTTTATTTCAATGGGAGACTGACTCAGCTTGCCAATTGAAGTGCCTTGTGAATCAACAAAAGCCAGTTTTGGAGGGTCTCCAGGAAAGGATTCCCATTGGCTCAGGAAAGGGCAAAAGCCATGGAGGGGGAGGCAAAATCAGCAACAGTGCTGACCCCACACTCTGTGTACATTCAGAGGTGCAGCTGTTGTATTGCAAACAAAGTTATCACCAGCCATGTGTTAGACCTGTAGCTGCTTCCATTGCAGATTTTTTTAGCCTAGTCTCAATGGCACCATACATATATTTATGATGTGTAAATCAACCCACAAATGAAGATGACTACTTTTTTTTAGAGAGGGGGCGACACTGATAAAACCTGGTAAACTTAACTCAAAATTAAAATAACTCTTTCCCCCCAATAATGGAACAGTGGCTTTGTCTTTCATAAAACAGTGAAATATACGGGTCCTGGTTATTTTGATTGCATTTGATCAATTGTTCTTCTTTTAACATTTGTTCTGAATTGTTTAAAAATATATTATCTCTTTCCTTGTTATATGTTTTGCTTATTTTTTTCTGTATTACTTTCTTGCTTCTTATATATTATGGAAAACTTGAAAACAAAAATGCATCTATCTACAAGAAACCATATAATTATCTTTCTGTTTCTTACAAGGAGCATTCAGATTTAAAAGCACTGTACTGTTGTAACAGACTTCTGTTGGGATTCCTCTGGAATAAGCAGTAGTACTAAAGCTACTGAAGTCAGAGGCATTCCAGCACTCAGAAAAGAGCTGTATTATTTGCTAAGGGTACATTTGCTGGAAAAAAATTGTGTGCAAATCTATCCGGGTTTTGGGATTATGCACAAGGACTAATGTATAGAACCAGATGTATCAAAACTTTATTTTGACTATAGTGTATTTCCATATTAGGTTCTAGTTTTGTAAGCAATCTGTGGAACAATACATTAATAATAATAATAATAATAATAATAATAATATCCTTCACAAATAAAACATTAACAAAAACTCAATTTAACTCGGTGTTTTTCAAAAGATTTTTCTTAGCACACAGCTTTATCCAAGTAATTTTTGAAAAGATCCATGGTAAAAGAAAGGGAATGCATCAGATGGAAATTTGGCTAATAAATTCTCATTAACTATTTCTTTTAAAATTTGATCTCATGGTTATTTAGGATTTAGTAAAACCTCCCCCAGAAAGAAACAATGTAAGATTCCAACTAAAGTTACAAAAGCCTTGATTTGTAGAAATATGGAAAAAGTGGTACTTTGAAATACAATTTTCCCAAGTAGATCTGAGTGCTTTTTATGTTCCCAGTCTTATAGCACCGACTCCTGTTCTGGTGTTGGGAAAAATCTAGATTCTCAAAAAGTAAGTTTTAAAAAATAGAGAGAAGTAATGTCTTATAGATATTCCAATTTCTTACCTTTGAGGAAATTTCAGGTACAATTTCCTCTCCTTTGATTTGACTGGTCTTCTTTCCCTTTTCATGCTAAATACTGACAAAATCAGCAAGTGCATGTCCTGCGTCCAAAGGGCTCAGAAATACATTGGCTGTGTTAGCTGAAGCAACAGAAGGAAATTCTCTTCATTTCTCTACCTTCTGAAGCAAACTGACCGGTGGAGATTTCCCACTGGGAACTGAAACTACCATAGCGAAGAAAGAGCTGCTGCCAGGAGAGTAACTTCGAAATAAGGCAAATTCCAGATTCTAAGAGGAGAGAAAAAACCAATGAGGAGGCAGCTGGGAGGAGAGACCAGTAGTCATGGGGACAATCTTTTTATGAATGTTTTTCCAGGCATTATCTTGCCACCTGATTTGCAGTTATCTGTTCCATGTCATATTTTTATTTACTTACAGAAAGAATCCATGCTGGATTTCACACATTATAAATATTTACAAATGGCTTATTGCTTCATTGTAGTTTTTTCCCTTTTTCCTCTGTCAGGAACTGCTGAAGTTGCATATAATTTTTCCCATTGTAAGTCTTGTATGTTTTTCTGTCAGTCATTCACGTCAACTGGGATTGTTTTTCAGTTGAATTCTGAACACTGTATTATGTACATCTGGCATCTGCTGCTCATTTAGAACCACAGACATGAAGATGTTTGGGATCTATATCATTTTCTTAGTGTCTGCTTACATGCATTATCTCAGTAATCCTTATAAAACCCCTGTAATGGAGATGAGCCCTACTATTCCAGTATTGCAGATGGGGGAAATGCAGGGGAATAGAATAGATAGAGAGCTGAGATATCAGCAAATGCAATGTTAGAACTGATAAGTTTTGTATAACTGTCACATATATGTATTATACATAACATAGGCAGAGGCTGTCTACATGTCAACCCAAACCAATTCAAAGGAAACTTATAGCACCTTTGAGAGTCTTCTTCTTCCTAGTGTTTGTCCCACAAATTTATTTATTTATTTATTTACATGCTTACTTACTATATTTATATACTGCTTTTCTCAGTCCTCGGGCGACTGAAAGCAGTTTAAAATAGCAAAATTCAATGCTCAAAACATCATAGAACTGTTAAAACAATTAAAACAATAGCATAATAAACAATCATTACAAAATCAATAAACAATAAACATCTCATTAGCGTCTGCTCGTTTGCTTCTTGTTCTCCTCTTGTTCCTATCAGTCACATCTCTCATTGTGAGTCTTGCTTCAGCCATATCGCATTTCAAACAGTTGAGCCAGTGCATTTGGAACGCCCTTCCCACAGACATCAGATTGGCTCCCTCCTTGTTGGTATTCCGGAGAAAGGTGAAAACATGGCTATTCGAACAGGCGTTTGAATAAGCAGTGCAATGACTTCAGGAATGGAACTACGACTGACGAGTTTGGATCATGATTCTAGTTATGAGACGCCACTTGAATGTTTATTACTGATAAATTGTTTAATTTGTTTCTGTGTTAATTGTTTTTAAGTATCTGTTGATGTCGCATTGAATTTTTGCCTTGACTGTTGCTCTGTTCTTGCTTGATTGTTGTAAACCGCTATGAGTCGCCTAGGGTTGAGAATGGCGGTATACAAGTGAAGTAAATAAATAAATAAATAAATAATAAATTTGTTTTTGGTCTGCCATGTGGCCTGGCACCTGCAACTTCCATATTCAGCGTGGATTTAGCCACAGAATGCTGATCACTTCGTTGTCCATGTCCAACACATCTCAGACTGGATTCCTTCATCTTCTTGGCAATCGGAGCACCTCTGAATATGGAGCACACAGTATCGTTTGGAATCCTGTCCTTCAGGGTAACACCCATTGACCTCCTGAGCATCCACATTTCCATAGTGTGTAGAGTTTACTTGACTGCCTTAATGGTTGGCCGGCACTCAGTGGCGTATAGAGCGAACAATATCACCATTGTCCTATAGATTTTCTATTTTAGATGGACTGGGATCTTCTTATAAATTATGCCTGTCGTTGCTCTCCACATCATCCATGCTGCATTTACACGCCCATGAGCATCCAACAGTACATCACTGGTGGAGGTATCTTTAAGCCAAGGTATTTAAAGCTGGTCATTTTGTTGAGGTCAGTGCCGTTGATATTGATGGAGCCATCTGCTCCTGTTGGTCCATGTTCCATGTACTGTTTTTGCTATAGCACCTTTGAGAGTAATTCAAAGAATGAGGTTTGTATCATAAGATTTTGTAGACTCAGTACATCATCAGAATTAAAATTAATTCAGGAATTAAAAGATTTTTGTAGAATTTGTGCTTACATATCCAATGGATTTTTTTTCTATCAAAAGATATTGTGTTATCCCCATGTAAATTGCAGTCATAGCCTTCTAGCATGGCCAAGCAGTCATATCTAGTGGTGGCCAATCTGTGGTTTGGATGATGGAGTTGGCAGAAAAATGGGGCTTGAGACTTTGAGTAAAATCTATGGCAGGGGCAAACTGTAATCTTGCTTGCCCTTCCACTGTTATTCATTCACTAATCCAGAAGACTACAGCTGAAGTCATTCTAGGCTGCAAGGCTGAACATATATTACAGGCCTATAAAAGAAACAGTATGTTACACATGGGACCTGACTTGTGCTCAAAAGGCTAGTTGCTATTGATATAATCCCATTAATATAGCCCTTTTGACTAGTTTTAATTTGATCATTCATCAGTGATACTCTTCATTAATCTGCTACGATTTTTGAAATAGTTTAAAAGACAAAAGAGAAAACGTATACGTACAGCATTTTAATATTTAATGATGCAATCAAAGTCTTTCTTTCTATGTTGAGTCTTCCCAAGAAGCAACATGGCTACCAATCAATAAAGACCTTGCAGTTGTTCAAAGAGATGATTGATTGATCTTGATATGCAATCCCTGATATTTATAGGGCTACTAAACCGAAGATAGGGCTATAACACAAGAGTTTCAGTGCAATTTTCCCTAGCCAAACATATCACTAAAACAACAACATTTTTCCCTGTGCTGTGTTTGCAAAAAAAGTTAATGAATGGCAGAATTGTGTTTGCATTATTTGAATTGCCATGTTACTTTTAATTGCAGGGTTAAAATTATATCTGAGGAGCCTTTAGCAATGGGTAAACAAAGATCGATGCTGAACGGCAGCCAAGACCACAGCTTTATTAGAGAGTCAATTTTATAATCACTATAATCTGATAAAGAGAAATTAAGAGCATATTGCAGATCAAGTCTAGCAAAACAGAATGAACACTAGGTATTAAACAATGGAGATGTCTCAGGAGATAGTAGAGCAAAGGTGAATAGCATTTCAGAAAGGAGGAAACATCTTCAGCATTATATTTCCAATATTCCATTTCCTTTATATGCAAGGGAAGTGATTTTAGCTAGGACCATGGATAAGGTCCATGCCCAATGAGCTTCCGATAAACCAGATCAGCCAGGACAGAGAACAAAGCACTCTGAGTTGAAGACAAACTATGGAGGTTTATTACAGTTTGGCCAAAAGGGATGCAAGTGGCACGTCACCATTCAAAATCCCATCCTATCCATTTTTGGTTGTCAATTCACTTATTTGGGCTTCACATTTGCCACAATATACAATCTGGCCGAATAGCTTAACCATTGTTTCATCCCACGGAATACAAGGTCTGCCTAAGGGCTGCTTGTGACCTCGTTATCCAGTTCGTTACTTGATGTGTCAATCGGTTATCTTTCATTTGTGCCATATACCCATCCCATCTTCTTTTTGTCTCATAGATTTCATTGACCATGTCACGTGCCCCTTTTCTTTTTATTGCTGACTTTATTTCTTGTCACACCACACATCCTTCTTTCAATTGCTGAGTCACCGCCAGTTTTCCCCCCTCTAACTTTGTTGTTGTCCATGTTTCAGATGTGTATATCATTATTGATAAAATTGTAGTGTTGAAGATATCTGATTTGACCTTCATTGACCATTCAAAATGTATAAGCATAACTTGTAATAAAATAAATGACATTTTATACATTTTGACAGCTATTCAGACTTCCCACACCTCCTCCTGATTGGCTGAGAAATGGACCAGCTAGGATCTACACAGGGATTGTCTGGGGGGTTCCCTGATGTCACAGCTAATTATTGCTAGGTCTAAAGGTTCAGTTCGTTGCAGACAGGGACGGCTCGTCCATTATGCGAAGTAAGCGGTCGCAGAACACTTTTTATTTGCCAGGGGCGCAGAGGCGCCTCTGTAAATGCCCCTCGACCGCCACTTGAGGAGCGCCCCCTCAGCTCACAACAGCCCTAGCAGTCCAGGGGGAGCCTCGGCTTTCTTGCCTTGCTGCCGGGCGATCCTCTTCCCAAAGGGACCGGGCCCTTGAGCCTCGCCTCACCCCTCTCGTTCCTGCTCCACCCGGCCACCAGGTGCGCAAGCAGAGCCGGCGCTCAATCGTTCTCCACGTTCGATCCCTTCCCCATGACTGGCTCCCTTTCCAGATCCCCCGGCGCTCCACCCGCCTCCTCTCCCCAATCCGTAGGTGGGCCAAGGGGCGGAGCCGCCACGTCTGGCCCACTTCGGGTCCGGAGGTGTGTCTGAAGACCCCAGCGTACGCACCAAAAGTCGCCTCTTCTCCTGACTTTCTCTTCAGCCATTGGGACCGAGAGAGAGAGAGAGAGAGAGAGAGAGCCCTTCTGGCTGGAGGTATCTCCCACCTCCGCTCCCTCCTTTGTTTTTGCGCCTACCTTCAGGAAAGGTGGGCATCTCCACCTCTCTCTCTCTCTGTCTCTCTCTCTCAAAATGCTACTATCTTTCACCCACAGCAGATGAGGTAGGGGAAGATGCCAAGACATTCCTGCTATGGGTGGACTCAACATTTTCTCAGTCTCTGTAATGCACTATGTCAGTCTCCCAACTAAGAGCTTCTGTTCAGAAGAATATTGTGGTCAATTGCACTGAAAGTCACTGGGTTCAAGGGAACTGGCAAGGTCATATTCTCACTGTCCATTTTTCAGTATAGATAAAACAGTCTGTTCTAAAATTAGGCTTGAAACTGGTTCCACAAAACAGTTCCATTCAAAAATGCTTGGTGTTATTTCACTTGGGCCCCATCTACACTGCTATATAATGTAGTTTGAAACTGCATTATGTGATCAATGTAGGCTCATATAACTCGGTCACAGAACTTCTTGAATTCTGCTATCTGAGCATACTTGTGGTATGCTGCCACCATGTGGTTCCACAGTGACATTTTTCATGAAAATATACAAATAAAATCATAAATGCATTTATTTTAAATGTTTATTCCTCTGCAAGTAGGTTTTTTTTTTGTCCTCTGCAAGTTGTGATCCTGTCTATATATCCTCAAACTATATTCTGAGGGTCAGGTTAATAAATGAAACAAAGAGTTTTTAACAAAGCACTTCAGTGACCATGACAACAGTAAGGATTAAACCAGGTATGGGCTAACTTCGACCCTCCAGGTGTTGGACTTCAACTCCCACAATTCCTAATAGCTGGGAGTTGAAGTCCAAAACACTTGGAGGGACGAAATTTGCCCATGCCTGGGTTAAACAGTCAAGGAAATCAGAGTATGCATCGGGACTGAAATTGTCTCAGAAAGAAGTTAGAAAATAGGACAGTGAAAACCAGCTTGTCTGCCAAGGATTTGCATGATGCATTGTTTCTGTTAGAAATGTTAGCTCTCAACAATCATTATCATCCTTAAATATCAGGAGATTATATACATTGATACCCTCTATTATTTCCAGGGTTGCTATATGCCAAATTGGCGATTACAAGAGCATGACGGAGTCGAATTTCAACAATGCAGTAAGTTTACCTCTG